TTTAATTCCGAGTCGAAATATATAAGTACGCAGCATGCCGTCACACATCCGGAGTAGGTCTATAAATTCGCAGCGAGTCTATTGTACATCCGGATCGTCGTATCAATCTATCGACGGTCCGCGATGAGATCGAAGCACGCCCGAATCGATACCACAATTCATCGGAGGTCCACAGCAGGCCTTTAGTAGGTTCGGAAATCGGGGTTTGAATGTCCGCGTCTTAGGCCCCACAATTCGAAATAATCGGTATTTAACTGGTTTACAGCAAGTTTAAATCGGGTGTAATCCAGTTAACGTGTTAAACTTCGGTTAACTCGAGTTGTAGACCCGGGATTAATCTCAAATCTTAATCTTCACCGCGCTAGCCGAGTGGCAGGCCGGGAATGTGTTCGTAGCGAATCTGGATGTTGGGGTTTTGGTTCCATAGGGCGGCAGCGGAACGTCCGCAGAACGATTGCGAACCATTCTTATTTCAAACTTAGAAAATTGTACACCAGCAATCAGCCAGTAAATACGAAAATAACTTCACCTGAGTTCAACTTCATCTCAAGGATTCCTGTATCAATATTTTCTTTATCTACGTTACTTTACAATACCAACCGGACAACATTCCCACAAAGACTGAGGAATCCGTAAATATTTCCGTATATATTCTTACACGTTCTGAACGAACAAGAACTAACACCCAGTATGTATTGCATGTAATTCCTAGCAAAAAGTGAAGTACTAACAGTATGAATGAAATTTATCAAAAATACAGCATCCGTATAAAGTTTTTTAACCTGAAAATCTCGGAACACGTGTTAAGGTGAAGTGAAACGCCCTTTAAACCAGTCGATTCAAGTACAATACTTTTTTTAAGGGTATTTGACCAAACTGTCCGAAACTTTGACACATGATTCGTGGTCATCTCAGAATTGTCCTGACACATTCAAAATTTGGATTTTTGGAAAAAACTTTTTAACTTAGCCCAAACCAGAACCAAAATGGCGTCAGCTCTCATATTTCGATCAATATACAATTATCGAGGGCTCTGATATGAGAATCGAAAGGGTCAGGACAATTTTACGACAATTTAGAACACTCTGGTAATCGATAAACTCGCAATTGAACGGGATAACGACAAAAAAAAGTGTCTTATGTGCTTCTATGCTAAAACGATGGTAATACGAGGTCTGGGAGTGGAAATTTAGTTGACGTGGAAATCAAAGATGGCGCAGGGGGTCCCTCTGAAGTCAATTAGGGCCTCAGAGAGCATGAATCCAGAGGATTTCTGGAGTTTAACTTCGATTTCTTGATAATTATTGAACGAAAACGACAGGTGGAGTATGCCATTTAGAACAAAACCCAATATAATTAGACACAACTGTCAACATAAAAACGAACGTCGGCAACGTAGGTATTTAGAAAAATCTTCTTTATCGATGTCGATCAAGTTCCTTGACGTGTTTCACTTCACCTTAAGTCAATCACGTACATACAACACGTACATTATTTCAAACGAGCGGTCGAACTTTGGTTATCCACGCATAATATGTACGCGTGCCTCACGGATGTTCGACCGTAAAAATGCTTTGTCTGTTTTGCACCATTTAAAAAGCATGTATAATACAAGTTATGAACTTTTCAAAAATTAAGGATACACTTTTATTATATCACTTTTAGTAGAAATCACGTCCGCTCCTTGTCTATCAGTTGGCTATTCCGTAGCATCTTGAATACATACACATGTATGTATAAGTAATATATTTATATTACTTGTATGCACCTATTTTTTTTGGCCATTGGAAATTTGAATTGATTTGGTTAGCAATAAAAATGATATTAATGAAACTAAATTTCAGTTATAAATTTAATATAATATACGTACAATAATAAAAAACCGACGTCAAAAATAAACACTAAAAAGTAAAAAATAATTGTATTAAAAGCCAATACGAATTCTTTATTATGTACAAAATATTTATCTACTAACTACTATAGATTTTGTAAGCATTTATTAGTTTTTTATTTATTTACAGTTGGCACAACAAACAAGAACCGAAGTGTAACACTGTCTTCAATGTTAGATTCCGTTACCTTTCGTTTTTTTTTCGTCCACCTCAGTAAGTATTTAGAAATCTATAGTAATTACAATATAAGTAATTCGTACATAATAAAGATTTCGTATTGGCTTTCAATATAATTATTTTGTATATTAGTGTTCGTTCTTTAAATCGTTTTTCCATTCAAAAGCTTTTATTTTTCAATTTTCTGTTTTTACTCCTTTCATTCAGGTGAAATAAACTACCCTTCAAACCAATCAATTTGGATAAGACACTTTTTTTTAAGGGTACTGGACCGAGCTGTCTAAAACTTCAGCACATGAATCGTGAGCACCTAAGACTTGTTCTAATACTTTCAAATTAGAATTTTCGAAAATAACTTTTTTGACTTAGTTTAAACCAGAACCAAGATGCCGTCAAGTTCTCATATTTCGATTGAGAAAACAATTATTAAAGACTCTGATATGAGAAACGAAAGTGTCAAGACAATTGTAGAACAATTTAGAATCCTCTAGTAATTGAGAAACTCGCATTTGAACGGTATAACGGCAAAAAAGTGTCTTATGCTGTTCCGTGCTAAAGTGAAGATAATACAAGGTCTTGGGGAGAAAATTTAGTTGGCACTGAAATCACAAATGAAGCACGGTAGTAGTACTCTATAGTCAATTAGGGCATTAAACCCCATGAATGGAAGGGTTTTGTGGATTTTTACTTATATTTCTTTATAATCACTGTATAGAAACGACACATGGAGTACGCCATTTAGTATAATATCCAATATAAATCGACACAAATGTCGATATAAAGCCGAACGTCGGTAACGTAAGTATTTAGAAGAATGTTCTTTACCGATGCCGATCAAATTTTTCGGCGGGTTTCACTTCACTTTGAAATTTTAAGTGTATATAAAAGTTGGTAAAAAAAAAAAAATAACCCCATCACGGCGCGGTTACTATCAATCGTTCATGATTTCCTATTATCAATTTTTGAATTTTATGATCGAATCATGAGAAAATTTGAATGAGACCATCTAGAAAGTATCCTCTTGAAAATAAAAAAATTACTCATAAAAATCGATGAACCCGGGAAAAATTATGCGTTGTGTCGTAATCCGATTTGGCCAGTCATAATGGGTTTTGAAGCCGGGGCGAGGAGGGGTCCCTCTGGTAATCCCGTAAACTAAGATGTCATATTTTAATAATACTTTCGCACTTGTCATAATAGATTATACCTCCGCGGAGGGGCGGCGCGCATCGGCGCTCAGTTTTATCGTTCCCGTCGAGGACCGTATCGTGCCGTTTCAAAGGGCGCCGTACCGCAGTCCGTTCCCGCAGGGCACCATCTCATTCCGAAGCGGAGCAACGCATAGGCAGGCCTCAGCGTAGAAACAGTATTGGTGAGCCCTAACCAGATGGGCTCATCTGAACCGCCATATGCTGCCTTGTCCCCGCATCGCAGGTCGAAGTCCTTCAGGCCGGCACCAATATCCGTCTCGATATTTGCCGATTCCCGCCGTGTCTCGTAATGATGATTTTTATCGTGTCGCGCTGATTATCGTTTGCGTCCAAATTCAGCGGATTTCATAGGCCACGCGCGAGTGCGAGTTACCGATTAGGCAGCGGCCATCTTTTCCCGGATCGCGTATCGAACTCCTTATTATGTCCCGCCCCTTTTCCAAAAGTTTGTCAGGAGACTCTCGCCCGCTCTTTTATATCGTGTCCCTTACCGTAATTATAGTATCGTATCGTATCGTATCGTATCGTTACGCCGTTTGCACACGTACCGGCATCAACTGTTCGGCCAAAAATAATGTAACTTTCATTTGTTTACATTATTACCATGTAACGAGCCGTGTGCCTCGGACCAGGGCGCCCGATGCCGAGCCACACGACTCGCACAGCACTGCGGCCAGCCCCGCAGCCCGGCGACCGTTTCCTGCAAGCGCGACAACCCACGGCCTGCGCTCTCTCGCAAGCGCGCAAGCCTCCCGGGCACTATAAGAGGCCTGGGAAAATAAAGCAAGTCAGAGTTGTAGGAAGAGAAGAAACTCGCCAACACTCTCAAACCCGATTCGCAGGACGAGACCTCGAATCACTATAGGCGCGAATTCGCATCTCCGAAGATAATTCGGACAAGAGGCGACACGAACCGAACTTGTATATCGTGTCACCTCTCCGACCCGGGAGTTCGAACAATAGGGTTAGAATCATTACCGCTGTTAACATATAAATCATATTGTGAACAATTAGTACTAAGTACGATCCCGTTTGTATCCGGTCTACTCCCAATGTTTTACCTTCAGACCTGAAGCAACTGACGCCGACCGGCAACCGATGTCCAATCAATAAACGTTATTATTGTTACCAAAAACCCTGCGAATATCTTACTCCACCCAGGTATTACCCCTCGGATACTCAAACGCTCCGAGCGGGCCACTGTCGTGGGAAGAGACCCAAACGTGGACCGCGGCGCGTGAGGTTGCCATCTAACTCGCGCCCTCGAGTTCTATCGTTACAACCATCGAAAATACCCGGTTTACATTATTACCATCGAAAACACCGTTTTTGCCGGTTGTGTGCAAACGGCCTTAGTGTGGCAAGTCTGAGTGGGCGAGAGGTGTAGGCGTTATACCGCGGGCCGGCGCCATTTATAGTGTGTGTACTTATCGTTGGACGCCGGGTCCTTACCGAGACGCTTGGGAGCCAAAAAAGGAACCTCCCGATAGGGAGGAAATGGCGATGTACCCTGAAACTGACTCCAACCGTGGAGTTTGGTCATTTTTCGCGTTACGTTCTTTATTTCTTTTGACTTTATCGTAACCAACTTACACTAGGACGTTATGCCCTGTCATCGGCTCCAAGCGTGAAGTACGGCCAATTATCGAGTCGCGTCTCTGTAATTTTGTCCTTTTATTATAATAAACTCCCGACGGGACTATTTACCGTAAGCCCGCGTTTACAATTTGTTTAGTCTATTTTCCTGTCCCGTGGACTCCGGAGTCGACTTCTCCTCATCTGTATCGTGTTGCGCTGCCGAACCCATCAACTCTATCATGCCGTAAAGGGCCGCAAGAAGAGCCTACGGGGTTGAGTAGCCGGTCGGTTACGCCCTGTAAGGACCTGTCGTCTGGGTCGGGACGAGATGCTTAGACATCCGAGCAACGGGATTCGGTGGTGCGCCTTCGCGCACATAGCGCCCTTAAAGAAAGCGGAATTCCAGATAGGCCGATGTCCGGGCTTGACCCTAACCGTAACACGAAGCAGGGTGTACGGCTGTTTGTCGATAGAGAATGGAAGTTTCCCGTCGCACCGTGAACATACATAAAAAAATACGGGTATAATTGAGAACGTCCTCCTTTTCTGAAGTCGATTAAACAGGGGTTTATGTCCCATAAAAGTACAGTAACTTAATGGTCAAAGCTCCTGCTTTTTACGAACAAGTCCCAGGTTACCCGACACCAACATTTGGGTTAAAGAACCCAAAACGGTACACTGAAAACGGAGTTACAAAAAAAAAAAAAGAGAGAGAGAGAAAGAAACAGCGAAAGAACATGTGTTCTTTTGAACCCACGATCTGCTGTGGGCTCATTATGGACCTACTGTAGATTTACAGCGAATTGAAAATCCTAATGCCAGGACCTGCTGCGGATGTAAAGCGAACCTGATCGTTCATTAAACGGATGTCCTTCGGGCCTGCTGCAGACTTGCTTCGGACTTACTTTCCAGAGGACGCATCCCCAGTACGCCCATAGAACGATGTATGTACAGTAGGCACCCCCACATCGGAAATATGGAATGAAACCTATTGGAGAATTTAGTGCTTTTTTAGTGCCACAACCTCGATTTTAGTGCTCCACCCCTTATACCGAAAATCGGTGGGGGTGCTGAGTGAACGTTCACTCAGCACCCCCACAGTGCAATCTACGTTAAGGGAAAGATTCACGGATGAAACGAGTATGCAGTATTTTGGTGCTTTTTTAGTGCTCTAGAAATATCCAATAGTCGAATCCGAAACACTACCCCTTTCACCCCAAAACTACCCCCGATCGTATAAGCGCCAAGAGAGAAGAGGTAGAAATAATAACATTTTG